CAGCAGGGTTCTACATGTTGCACAACTCAGTCATTTTACTTGGCATTTAAAAATCATACATGAAGATTATACATTTTCTGTTTTCATTGCTATTGATATAACATTAATAATTAACATTATTAACATATATTATCCAGATATGAACTTTCTAACATTAATGGCATGCATAATTTACTGCCTGTACCCCTTTTTTTCCACCAGCGAAAGACTGTTAATACTTGCTGGTAAGCTATTTGTTGGCCTAAATCTGATGTCATTCAAATCAGCAGAAATCTTACTTCAAAGGGATCAAAGTTAGACCATGATACTTTGAAAAACATTGTTTGTATGTTCTGCAGGTTTTGCCTTGGAGTTTGTTCATCAGGTTTTTTATTCAATCTATTATTCATCACTGGTCAGTTCCTACAACAAAACTTTAGCCAGAATTTTGATTGAGTTAATTTACTCAGTGGAATGAAATTAGTTTGTTTATGAACAATTCTAAGCTCTGGGGAACAGACTTTCTCATAGTGGAAACCCATTCCACATCAAATGGAGTTTGCTGCTAATTTATATCTCTGCGAAGGTAGCATGTCAGACAAAGTTATGGGTGCACTTAACAGCATACTTTGAGCTAGATACAACTTGAAATCAGTCATTACTTTAGTAAATAAAACTATTACCCTTGTGTTCAAACATAGCTAGTCAAGAAAAAGTCATGAAAAAGTGCTTTTAACCCTTTTTCATTTTTAAATCCTTAAGAATGTTGTGAATAAGAAATTAATCCCTTTGCAACAAATTCAAACTTCCTGAGGATAAAGGCTTACTTTTTTTTAAAAGATACATCTACCTTAGCATTTCCAAATTGAATCACCTGGTCGCTCCACTTGCCACACTTCATTTCACACTCTGAGGTGTGCAAACTTGGTTCTCTCAGGGGAAACCAAACCATTAGATATGCTCCAGGAGCAGGACTTAGCCACTCCACTCACTAATGAGCAACTAATTCACAGGACCCGACTAGAGCTAGCCAGAAGTAAACACCAGAAAAATGGGTATAGTGTGAATGCTGGGCCTTGAAAAACAACTGTTTCAGTCCCCAGACCAGTTCCTATTGCACAACACAAACTGCTAGTGTAAAATAAATGTAGTTATCTCTCCTGGAAGTCTTTGTAGTAGTCCACAGACAGCCTGATCTGGTATCTGCAAGGTGACAGGTGGAAAACTACCGTCCCAGAAGAACTAGCACTGTCTGTGTGTCCCTGTGTAACTACAGCTTACATGTGTATTTACCAAAAGTAAGAGAGTATGACATGATGATGTACTTATTTTTTTACTTAAGTCCAAAAGATTTCAGTTTCTCTGCGCATGACGTACCTTTGCAACGACTGTCATCCGTCAGTTCATAACCAGTTCCACAGCTCGTGTCCCGCTGACAGCGAAAGGATCCTAATGTATTGACACAAGTTTGTCCAATCCCACAGCTGTGTGTCCCAGTGATACACTCATTAATATCTAGAATATGAAAAATTATTAAAATTAAAAAAAGGGTAAATAAGAAACATGAAATCACTGGGAAGAGATGAGATCAAAGGCTAGCTGTGGGCACACCTCCAACCAGTCATTACTTTGAGCATCAGGATACAAAGAATGGTGGGGATTTGGCCTCGCACACCCACAATGTGGCTACTCATCTCTGTTCTCAGAGCGTGAGCCAGTAAAGACATTTTGACCCTGTTGTTAACAGGACTTATGACTGCTGATTCACTGTACTTAAGAAAGAGGAGAAAGTTGTACTGAGTGAGAGCAAAGGACCAACATCATCTGACTGAGTCCAGTAGCAGATGATTATAGTGACTGTATGAATGAGGCAAACTTTCAGAAATCCTTTGCTTGCTCTGCCTCCCACCCACATATGGCTTAGCAACTCCCTGAGCCACAAGTTGCAACTTTCTATTTTATAGCTACTGATGGACATTTCTTTTGGAATTTTTTTCTTTTTCTCTTTAAACACATAAGAATATTTGGCATCCATGTGTATCAAATGTAAAAGTTCTTCCTTTTTATATTTCACACTAGGTTAGTGTTAATCTGACCAATCATCAATATCTATTTTATATTCTGAAGTTTGTATGAGCTACTTACCTAGACTCCCTTTTCAGTCAATGAGAGAAAAAGGCACTCCTGATGAGTAACGCCTTTCATCCTACAACAGCTATGCAAAATAGGCAAGATAAACTGTGCCCTGGAAGTGCTTGTTTCTCTCAGTTAGCAACAAAAGGAGCCTTGGCTAACTAGCCCAGAAGCAGATGTCCGCACTGCACATATCTGAAGTCAAGTGTCATAAGCTCTATCCCAGCCTGCTTTATCTGATGTCCCTTTAGTAGTTGTTCTGGAAGAAACTTAACAATTCTTCCCCCTTGACTATTCCCATGCCACTCATGATATCCAAGACTTTCATCGTTTCTGTCAGTTATGTCCTTAACAAGCTGAAGAATCCTACTTTATTTCATCTGCCTTATCAATTACTATCTGCTACTATAAAAGAGAACAGGTATTTTATTTTGGTTTTATTCACAACAATAAATTAAAGATCTTCTGCTTCTTCTCCACTCTAAATCCTTCATCTGTTTTACTGACTGTTTCTTAACTCCATCTTCCCACAACTCTCACTCCAACACTCCATTTAAATCAACTTTTCATGATCTCACCTCTTTCCCCAGTTGGCATAAGCATATTCTGATCTCTTCTGTCTGGATCTTCTCTTATCTATCTGTTCTTGCTCTTTTAAAACAAGGATGTTGATAATCAAGGCAATGGTTTTATTTCTTTTACCTTCACAGTTGACACCATCTGGTTGAAGCTGATAGCCAACAAAGCAGGAGCAGACATAACTGGATCCTGTGTCTCTGCACTGCTGAGAGCAGGGACCACCACCTAATTGGGTATGTTAAGAAGTCTTTTATAATTAAGAAGCTCTTCACAGGAACTGAGTCAAATCATTGATTTACAGGACACTTCCTGATTTATTTAGAAAAGCAGATAACTAAACACACACATACAAAAGAAGGAAAGGGCTAAACACTGAAAGAAGTGTTGGTAATCACCGGATTCTTTTAGCTCTAAAAATGAATATAAGAAGGAAGTAAATTAAGGAGTTGCTCATAGCCCATCATGAGCTCAGACACCTACTCAGGTTTTGGCTGGGAAGTTAAAACTTTGTATGGTGATTACTGTACACTAAGGAAGACAATCACCCTAAGTTAATGAAACATTTTCACTATTAGCTGCACTAGGCTTAATTTTTAGCCCATCATTATTAGAACCATGCTCCTGAATTAGCTATAGCATGTGCTCTTTTCCTACTCAGCAGGCAGGAAACGTGAAAGGGAGAAGAGGGTATTGTGCGTGACAAAGGCTTCAGAGAACCTAAAGGAATCAAGACTTACTACTGGGGTACTAGGGACGTAGTGAGGCATGTGCAGGAGTCACAAAGGATGTGAAAGAGAGCTGGGGTTATTCTGGCAGACAGAAAGAGAGGATACTATAGGAAATTTACACAAAATTTGGCTCATCATTAAGAAAACTTACTTTTTCTGATCTTGTTAATAATAAATTAATATTAAAAACATTTAATATTCTCACAATAGAGAAAAGGTTATATACTCCCAACTATTTGTTGTAAGAGTACTGATATTCTTAGTACAAATAGAACCTGTCTTCCATTTTTCAGAATGGCTGCATAGGCATTAAACAAAAGGTTTGAGATAAGCACAATCAATGTGGGCAAATGCAGCTAAAATGCTTTAAACTTTTGAGTGAAATAAAAAAAATTTTTTAATTGTAACAAATTCTAATGAGGACAGGGCCATTAATGCACCACAGAAAATTACGCCTTTACACAATACTGGCAAAGGCAATTAGAAGGAACCATAGTCTTGTGGTTGAGATGGACAGCTACTGCTTTCTAAACCTCTGCTAATACTGTGAACTCCTGTCAGCCACAGTAAAACCTATCGTGGAGGTGCTGGAAGAACAGAATTAATTTCCTCATATACCATGAAGGTGGTCCAAAACAAACTGCTGGAAGTTCCGCTGCCTAGGAAATTTAAGTTTCCCCTGGTGAGAATCAGACAATCACAAGTAATTTTGGCATGCCAAGTTTATCAGAAAATGTACTATAGACAGAAACTCTAATTTGTAATTAGTCATACCAATCTGTCTCTTGCAGGCAGCTGATTAACTGACAAATGCAACAACTGATTACATAAAGAAATAATGCTAGGAAAATATATAACACATTTTTCTATGTCATTTCTTGTAATTAGGAGCTGGAGACAAGGAAGAGAGCCAGTGTTGGTTTTGACTAGCTAATAACCTAGTAGACGTTTCCATCCTCTCTAGGAGTGTAATAGCTATACAACATGCAGCACAGTAAATCATCTCTCAACTGGAATATAAGTCTATTAAATTGATTTTATCCTAAATAAATTACTTAGTTCTGAAATGCTTGTAGAAAATAATAAATCACTGCTGTTTTAAGTTTATAGACATGTAAATCACATGTGACAAGCAATAAATCAGAATACTTAGCAGAACAATATCCCAATAACACATTCTTCCCAGGAGGCAGAACAGCCTGACTAATGAGGACAATAGCCGCTTTTCTTCCTTTTTTTTCAGGTGATGCATCTCAAAAGGAAACAAGTTTCATTTCAAATTCAATCGCCCTGATCATCCCAAGAGGAGAATAAAAGAATGCACATATTTAATATAGGATCCCCATGTTCTGAAGAATCCAGAGTACTCCACAGGTTCAATGGTAACACCTCTGAGATATTACCCACCAGAAGTTAAATAAAAGTTAAATGTATAGTCCAAGCTTCAGTTGGGTAAAACAAACTCCACAATGGAAGACAATGCCTCCCTTATATTTAAGAACTACTGAGGCATCAGATAATGGCCTACAATTTCTTAGAAAGGATCTTCATTCTGTTATTTTTACCCATAACTAGCCTAGGCAAAAGGTTTTGGCTAATCTCTAGATCTAAGTTTGCTTCACTTTTATTGGAGGCACTCACAAAAGAGCTGGCTAACAGGACTAGTCACCTGACTTACCTCTGCAGCCATCATGCAGATAAGGATCTTCTTGGTCTAGTTCCTCCTTTGAAATTTCAACTAAAAAGAGGAGAGACAGACATTAGAGGAGAAAGCACTTTTCTTCTCACAGTAAAAAGCTGCCTGCTTGGGACGGGACTCAGACCAGGGTTTTGGATAAACCAGGACAAAATTAAAGAGCATTATTTACATATTTTACAGCTATTTCATACTCAAATTTGACATTCAAATGCACATGGCCATGGGGCATTTTCTATCTGACTGATTCAATATGAAAGTCATGCTGTGATCATAGATTACATATGGGCTGAGATTTTCAAATGCAGGTTCTTAACATTAGGCTTTTAACCAGAGCTTAACCTCATTTTCATAAGACATGTTGTTGAGGCATGCTTGGCTTCCACTGACTTTATAGTAGCTTGGGGTACTCACAGTTTTAATGAAAATCAGATTAACCTCAGTTATTTATTTAGACTTCATTCCAAAAAGAACTCCACACCCAACTTTTGGGCACCTACTTATGGCATTCTTTCAAATGTACTTCATATAGAATCATAGAATCATAGAATTGTTGGAAGGTTGGAAAAGGTTGGAAAAGACCCTTAAAACCATCGAGTCCAACTGTTAACCTAGCACTGCCAAGTCCACCACTAAACCATCTCCTTAAGCACCACGTATACCCGTCTTTTAAATACCTCCAGGGACGGAGACTCAGCCACTTCCCTGGGCAGCTTGTTCCAATGCCTGACTATGCTTTCGGTGAAGAAGTTTTTCCTAATACCCAACCTAAACCAGCCCTGGTGCAACTCAACGCCATTTCCTCTTGTGCTATAGCTTGTTACTTGGGAGAAGAGACCGACCCCCACCTCGCTACAACCTCCTTTCAGGTAGTTGTAGAGAGCAATAAGGTCTCCCCTCAGCCTCCTTTTCTCCAGGCTAAACAACCCCAGTTCCCTCAGCTGCTCCTCGTAAGACTTGTGCTCTAGACTCTTCACCAGCTTCGTTGCCCTTCTCTGGACACGCTCCAGCACCTCGGTGTCCTTCTTGTAGTGAGAGGCCCAAAACTGAACACAGTACTCGAGGTGCGGCCTCACCAGTGCTGAGTACAGGGGCACTATCACCTCCCTGGTCCTGCTGGCAATATACATATATACTTTACTAAGGTATATAATATACCTTAGCTTGGAGAGGTTTGATCAGCGGTACTTCTGCTATGTGCATGTGTCCTGAGAGTTCTTTCTCTCCACGTGGAGGACATAAAAGGGCTGAATACATCCATTGCTTGAACCCTTTGCTTGCTGAAAGGACTAGCTAATGGACTTCCTCCAATCCCGCCACTTTGAACACAGAGGAAATGGTAGGTTGGTAGTGAGATGTGTAAAAACACAATCTCAAAATACTCTAGCTATTGAATAGGAAGCTTAGTCTCATTTCAGTGATTGTCCATAAGCCTATTCAGCCAGTGGTCACTTACAAGCAAATAATACATCACAGATGTGAAAGCAAGTTTTTGTGCAGTGGCACAAGACTGGGTTGGTACACTGAGTCCTCAAGCCATAGGGGTACATTTTGGTCACACAGAAGCTAATGAAATTAGTTTGCCCAAGTCTGGTCTGATTTTGTAGAGGTCTCTGGGGACACAGTACCAGAGATTACCCTTTATGTGACTAAGAAAGCATTGTACAGGGAGTCAGCTTGCCTTACCCTCTGCAGCACAATGCCTTGCATGCCTTGCTATTGCATAATATAAACACAAGGTGCTAGTCCAAGAAGCTGCCTTACAAAATGGAGACTGATCTCCCCTTCATGACTAACAAAGGTGTCTATTCATGTTGCTTGCTCTGCCTTTCTACAGGCAATTTTTATTGTCGATAGGGGTATTTTACATACGTTCAACCACCTACTTGTTTCTTAGTTTAACAATGAGAACATTGTCCTACCCTGCTTGTTGACATAGACCCATCTTTGCAATGCATAATGGTTATTATGTGTGCCATAATAACCATACTAACCATATGCATAATGGTTATTATGTGTGCCACTTGCCCACAAGGGTGAGTGGGGAAATACTGTATGCTGTGCTCACAGTTCTGGATTTTCAGGTGTTGATATACTTCTCATGTCATGCGGGTACACTGAGTGTACAAATTTTTATTATTAGCAGAGTGGTCTAAGTACAAGGTATCTACCAGTCCAGTCACTTCATCCAGTGCTAATGGACAAGGGGAATTCCCCTGCTGAGACAGTGGTACACAAAGAAAGTGGCAGGGCATTTCTCAGTGTTACTTGATAAGGGTGTACACTGACATAAGCCAGGTTTGAAAGACCTGAAACAAGTCTCATAACACACTGGCTCAAGCAGACCAATGCAAGCTTTTGTGGTGGGGTCTGGGTTTAAGTGATTGATTAGGATGATGTCTCCCAAAATCTGTCACGGGTGATCTGCAAGCCAGACTGCATGTTTTCAATACTCAGCTGCCCATGAAGGAGACAACACTATACAGCATGACTTTTCTGCAGTTTCAGGTCTGTCTACTAAGTGAAAAAGACAAAAACCCCCAAACCCAGGTCTGTAAGGGTATGTCCACATTCACTCTTTTCAGCTCTGTGGACTAGGTATGGAGAAGGGCGGCATGAGCTGCTGCCATCTAGACGCCCTTCTCTTATGATAATGTCGAAAGAAATGCAGATAACCATGTTTCCTGAAAATGTTCAGTTTTCCCAGACAGTCCAGGCATTTCAAATGCCCCCAGTTAGTGGGCATTTGCCTCTCACACAAAAGGCAAGACTTGAATTCTGATGAGCTGGCAAAGGCCATCTGGCTTTTAAATCCAATTAAAAGAATTGGTTCTCGATTTTCTTTTTAATTAAGAATTTATCAGTGGGCAAAATGCTATTAAAAATGAATAGCTTATACCCAGTTTCCAAGATAAGATCATTAGTGACCAAAATAATCTGTCTTATAGTTAAGTTCTGACACCAGGAACTGGGTGACCAATTTCCAGCTCCTTTAGCGTCCTGTGGTATACAATGTTTCAGCTATCACTAGCCAAAAAAATGAGCTTCAGAACATGCATCATTAAATTACTCAGAGGAGATCTCAAGTTAGAGGAATTCCAACAGAAGTAATTTACAGTACAAGCACTCCTTGTACCCCACATCATTTTGTGTCTCACTCTTTTATAATATGCAACATAAAATACCTTGCTCCTTTTTAGGAGCATCATCGCTGATGGACACATCAATGCCTTCTTGACCCTTCACACAGCAAGCTCTGAAGACAATTCCACACTGGTATCCTGTCTTTGGGTTGGGTTCACAACTCTGTCCTTGAATTTGGGCAGCCTTTCCCAGCAAACAACAGTAACAACATATCTGTTAAAAAAAAGAAAAAGTCATAACCTAGCCCTCAACAAAGCAATGCAAATTTTGTCAGTAGTGTCAATAGTGTTATCTCACCTTGGCAAACTGATGGAAATTTTTCTGCAAACTCTTTAAGAACTCCTGGTATACTTAGGCTCAGACATTTTAATCTGTAGTTGAGTTCAGTGAGCTCTGCATCTGGCCTACACAGAGCCAAGCACAGAACCTGGATCCAGTTCTCACAAATATTGTGTATGTGTGAATGTGTGTGCAGGGTGATGTGGAGGACCAGAATGGTCCGCATATGTATATGGAATTCCATTGCTCCCTGCCTGCACAGCCCAGTTTCAAATACCAGCAAACAGTGGGAACTCTTAACACCTCTGCTTCCCTTTTGTGTCGGTTCAATTAAAGTGGGACATGATCAATGAAGTGCATGACTCAGTTTATAATTAAACTGCCTACTCAACTTCCCAGCAAAAGATACCCCTCTCTGAACTAACAGACAAACAAGTGAACAAACATGATTCATCCAAGGTTAGTGTTAACAGGTCACAAAGAGAAGCAATTCTGCTCTGAAAAACAGACTACGTGGTCAAACATTATTTAAAAGCGTCACAGTCCTGACATGGCTTCCAGCAATGAAATGTGATCCGCCTCTTCCAGACCTGCCGAATTACGGCCCCAGAATACACCACAGAAGTGAACACAGGACAAGTTAATCCTGTGGAGGTTTCCTTTTATTTTAAATTGAGGGGGGACTACTGATATTTTCAGTTTTCTTCCTTGCTGTTAGAAAGCAGCAAAGACGTTTGGTTCTCTGGAACTGGCGTCTGCCAATTGCTACTGTCATGTAAAAGCAGATTTAAGCTTTTATTGTTAATTTTATTATTCTTCCAGACTCTTTTTTGCTTGAAGAAAATAGCCTGCACTATTAAGCAGAGCAGATGGAATATAAATAACTAAACATTGAACTGAATTTCTGTAATTTGGTACTTTAAGCACCACACCTATTGAAAAGAAGGCAACTATTAAATTTCTTTCACTACTCTGAGATGTATACCCCTGCCTATATTCTAAGTTTTCCCTTGCAAAGTATTACATATGTTTCTCTCTCTGTACTGCAGTGAAAGGTTTTTTTAAAACCTAGAGCAGCAGGAAAGTAAAATAATAAAATCCTTTTTCCTTGTTTCTTCAATCTTTTTTTACTTTACAGCACTCTGAAGTATGTCAGCATGCCATTTTGTACTTTGTCTTTAAATACACAACTGAATCCTTTCCCTGATGCAGAATGCTGTACGGTTGGAACTCTTCCCTCCTGTCCAGTGCTGGGGTGTTATTTTCATGCCCACCATAACATTAAGATACATGTTTTCCCTTATTAGCTACTGTTTGGTAGGATGGTTGCTCACTACCCACTTTTTTGACTTGGTTCTCCAACTACATCCATCCAGTGACGGATGCTCTGGTTTCATCACTAGTATGTCTGGGATATTTCCATCTTTTCTGGCTTTTCTGGATGACTTTAGAAATAAATACTTGATGACCTCTTCCAAGAATTGCAACATTTCTGAATATTTATTCCGTCTAACACGTCAAACATTTTCCTGATGCATCTTGCTCAAAGTTTTTAACATCTGTCTATAATTTTGTTAGATTTCCAATTTTCACAACCATAAATAAGAAGACAGAAATGAAAATTGAGCTGAAGATTCATTGTTTGACTTACGTGTGCGTATTTTTGTTAACCAAACCTTATTTAAGCTACTGAATACAGCTGATGCCTTGCCAAATTTTGACATTATATACTTCTGGATATCCTCACTAGCTTCTACTGTTAGGCGTATGTATTGACTCAATCTATTTCTTTGTCTTGTCACACAATGCTCAAATTGGGAGCTACAGAGTTTCTCTGCATTTTTTTATAAAGAGTGATCATTAATCTTGTCATTCTTGAAGTGTTGAATAACCTTATGTTCTTTATTTCTCCCAGGTTGAGCCTCCACCTGAAAGACCTCTGTCTCCAGCTAATGTGAATCTTCAAGTACAGAGCTTGCTAAGTCTTGCAATGTCTGTAAGAGACTCTGTCTTCATCTAACATAATTGTATGCATTGAACCATTTGTTCCAACCTGTATTTGTTCTAACTGTGCATGATGCATCTTGATTTAACATCTTTACAATCATTTATGTTGCTATACCATAGCCAAAATGATCCAGAGATGGAAAGTGTCAAATGTTTTCTTAACTGATGTTTATGGTAACTGGTGTTTAATCTTGACCCTAGAAGATTCTGCACTGGCAGTCCTAAAGGCTAATATTTCCTGTTCAAGTAAAGAAAAAAAGATGGAGAAGCTGATGAATGGCCTTGTGCTCAGAGCACACCCAGGACTCTGTAGAACCACATACGTCTCCACATACCTCACCTGTGAACTTGGAAAGTCACCTTTTCTTTCAGTTCTCCCACTGTGGAATGGTAATAATATAGCAGTGATAAGGCTAGTTTAACTCGTTCACGGAGCAGTCTGGTATTCTGAGACACAAAGCAGTATGTCATTGTAACTATCACTATCCTGGTAAGATTAATCTCAACAGTTCCTTTTTCACACTCTTTTTTTCAGGGTTGTAAGCCTATTCTGAAAGACTTTGATGTGATCTGAAGACTCTGATTTGAAATCCGGAATGTAGTCTAGACTCCATATTAGTTCAGTTCTTGATGTGTTTGCAGCCATTTTCCAAAGGTTGCCAGCTGCCCGGAGGCATGTTGCAATGACCATTCACCCATTTGCTAGAACCATCGCTGCCTTCATGGATGGTACAAGCTAATGATTGAGTTGTTATCACACACTTTCACAGCCTGTAAGCCTTTGCTTCTTAAGTGATCCCGATAATAATCTCAAATATTTTTTCCTTTGCCTCTCCCCTGTTATTAGCAAAAGCCCATGCAGCTTCAAAGCCATGCCTTGATCTTTGTGTTTGGATAGAAAGCTGCAACCTACTTTAAGTCCAATGATCCCTTGACTGCTGTTTTACCTTGCCGTCTCACAGAAAGGAATAAAGATGGAAACAATAAATGAATAAATAGTTACATGTAAGAAATTTGAAGCTTTATTTTTGGTGTGATTAGGAAGCACCTGAAATTGCTTTCATCAATAAGCTCTCTTAATTAGTTTATAATATAATAAATAAAATAATAAATAATAATATAATATAATAAATTTTATAATAGTTCTTTATTATTTATGTCACCATTTAAGTTACCAGCTCTGGAAGGGTGAACCATGTATTAACATTGCTTTTGTGTATCTGTCCACAAGAGGTCTCTCAATTGCTGAAATCCAGACTAACTAGTAGATGCTATGAAAAACAGACTGAAAAAAATACAAACAACTCAGCGCAAATTTTTTTCAGAACTTTTGAAGATCTGAACAAAAATGTAAAAAATGTTCAACAGTCCAAAACAGTAGAACTTTTGTGCTCACCTAATATACAGAACCAAAGTATTCTTGACAAAACTGGGGAGATACAGCTGTACCTCGATCTTTGGAAAAAGAAACTACCTATGACAAATTTGGGGGAAAATGTCCGAGCACCTTAAAAAAGGTCAAATTTCTACAAGCATCATTCCTTTCTGCAGGGCTGTTGTGGTAGAAACTTTCATAAAACCATTTCTACATCTCCGGCATCAGCAATAAATCTAGAAATTGATTTCTGTCTTTTGATGAAGATTTTAAAGATTAATGATTAATTTTGCATCCTTCTTTCCAAGGTAAGAAAAGCTATGCTTCCAAAAAAACAGAGGAGTAAAATTATATGCATTATTACCTATGCCTACCACCTTTAAGTCTAAAAGCTGAGGCAAGTGTTTTCAAAATAAGGTCTTTTTATCTTCTTTCCAATCACAAGTTTTGGATTCAAAAGAAAGATTAGCTGCCTCATTTGATGCAAAGTGCTGCGATTAATCCTACTAATTGAATTACTAAATCACTCCTTCTACTTCCTTGAAGGAGACAAAGAGGATCCAAAAGATTTCCCATGCTACCTAAGCTAAACTAAAATGTACCAACTTAGGCAAAATGAGATTCAAGCCCATGTGAGACGGGCTTGGTGTGAATGTAAAAGTTTACCACAGCAGGGCACAATTGCCAGACAAATTTTATGTCTCAAGGTCATCAGATTAAAAATGTATTCAACAAAAGAAATGATGAATTGTTCACCGATATTAGATCATAAATCATCTATGTCCATCATGGATCGAAGAGATTATCTACAAAGATACTCCTACAACTACCTCAGTATAGTTATTAAGTGTAGGATATTCCTGTTAGGGAATGGGGGGGCAGAACATGGCTCACAAAAATTAAATAAAACTGAGAATGTTTATACCAGTAAATTAAACAGGGACAGAATATGGGCTCAGGCATTGTCCCGCAATCGTCTGTAATGTTTAAATATTAGCAAGCTCTAATGGCAACTAACATCCTCTCAGGCAATGCTGAAGCATAGTTTGGGGATAGCACAGGCCAGCGCGTGGTCCCAAAAGCCCTCATGCACTGTGTTTTGCAGGGAAAAGGCATCAGTTACGTGACGAGCTGTGCTGAACCATTTATTCTCAGGGCCAGAGATCAAGGCCCAGCCCATTTTGTTTAATAATACAGCTGTCACCATGAAAACCTGCCATCTTTACAGAAGTCTGGCCATTTTAAAAAACATCATTAACTCTTCTTCCTCAGGCTGACAAGCCCACATTGATGGGAAAGTGGGTTTCCTTGAACAGTTGCATTCTGTTTTAGAGTTGGCACGTGTTTAAAATAGTGCTGCTGTTATAAACCTGTCTCTGGTAGCAAGCACTTGAATCTGCAGAGTAATCACCATCACAGTCCTTGTTCATAGCCCCTCAAAGTACTGACACAGAGGGCTAAATATTTCTTCATGCCACATCCAGATTGGGGTGGACAGGCTGCAGAGAGGAATCTCCATGCCAGAAGCAGGGCATACCCTGGACGTGGTGAACAGGTGAGAAATGTCCCCTCTGTGGGACATGCTCCACTGTGGGACAAAATCACGCTGCACATGCAGACAAGTTTGTGACAACCCAACAATGCCAGCCTCATCAGTATGTGTTACCTTTCTTCTACTCACAGCGAGAACATGGTTTACCTCATAGCCCTGGCATCAGCGGCATCCTACTGCCAGGAACATGATCAACCCAGCATTCTGGAGAGAGATGCAACTTGCAAGTCAGACATTGCCTGCCATCTTCTATACAGTACATTTTTTTTAACTGAATGAACCAAAACATTCAGTATCTTTGGCAGTGGGCAGAAGTAAAATCACTCTCATCTATTTTCATGACCACTGAAAGAAATCTGTAATAGGACCGGAGCTGTTCATGACCGGGTCATGGTCAAGGTCATGATCTTACTGGTGGAACTTTCTTCCAAAAACACTCTGCAGAGTGGTATGAATATGCTCACTTTCAAGAAAGGAGAGACAAACATAGTAATAAAGGTGGAGGGCAGGGCACAGATTAACTAAAGATGCCAACAACAGGCATTTTTATTCTAATACTAAATGCTATTATCACAAGCTTATAGATGCCTCTACTCAATTGTAAATCAAAGTCATGTTAACTAAGGACATGTACACAAGCTGGAATTATAAGCACACTGAGAGGATTAACTTCAGTCCTACCCCTTTGGACCACCAAGACTGAAAACCACTGAGTTTGACCTTAGGCCATGAAGCTCTAATGAAAGCTAAAGTCTGAAATGAGACTGAGTTTCTTACCCATCCCTTCATACAGTTTTGATGTCTTCTCTTCATGCAAAAGTAGTTTCCTAGCCAATTACCCATTCAAGACTTTCTGCCCTTTTGCATTCAACCCTCTGCCTTTGCTAAAATGCAATGAGACAGTCTGCTTCACTCAGTGGGGAACTGTTTTTCTCCAAGAAGCACAAAGTGGACAGCCTTAACAAAGACATGAGGTGCAGGTGGGAAAAAACTGTTTATGTGCATCAAACTGAATATGGTGACCTTCAGGGTCAACCCTTAAAAGCAATCTAGACAGTCAATACCATTTCTTCAAGATGAACAGAAGTAGCTCTAATGTCTCACCTTAAAGTATTCAGCTTCACAGGTGGAATTTTCAACAATATGTGAGTCACACTCCTCACGCAGGTTGGCAAATTCAGTCCCATCTGAACAATACTGCTTCTCCAGCTCGCTGTGGCAGCACTGTATCTGAGTCATGCTGACAAAAGAATGGAAGCAATGGGAGAAGAATGTCATATATAGGTAAAAAACAGATGATGCAAGTTTTAACATCTAGCACTTGCACTAGTCTCATGGAAAGAGGTTCTGTGGGCATGCATTTTAGTTGTTACAAAATAAAAATATTCTCTAGGAGAAGACAGAATGCGTAGGTGATATGTTTAATACAGGTAAGGTCGTATGTTTAATACAGTTTAACTGCCTGTCTACCTTGCAGTCTGTCCTAACAATTTTTTAAGGAAATCGATAACTTCAACCACATTTGCCACAGGGTTCAAGGTCTCCAGGACTTGCCTTCTTGCATGTTTTGTGACAGCTGGTGGCTGAACAGAGGATAGTGAGAACGAAATCAGTGCTCCAACTGATGGAAGGGAGAAGACAGGCCCTGGACATTGTGAGAGTCTGCAGTCCTATGGCCAGTCAACCCTGGCACCTGCTGCCCCTTGCTCAAACAAACAGGTAAGGCATGTTGAAGGAAGCTCATAATGTTGCTCTGTGGGACAACTGGAGATATGGGGAGAAGTGAAGATACGGACAAAAGTCACAGTGAGAAACACAGTGTATTGCCAGCAAGAGGCGAAGAAAAACAAGGGAGAGAAGGGTACTACAGGGCAGGAAGATGAGGAGAGGAGACAGGATATAAATCTACAGGAAACTCAGCTTTATTACTTCCACTGCTCATAAAATCATTCTATTTTATCTCCTTTTCAGTGAATAAATCGAAAACTCCTTCCTGTGGAAAATAATCTGCGGGAGAAGGCTTTAAACTCCTCCACTCCTGTTGCTACTGCCACTTGCATGCAAAGCCCATTCAAGGAGATCTCTTCCCTCTCTCCACTCTCTTTTTACAGTCAACTCTGCCTTGTCGGGTAGCACTGTGGGTGGAGCTTGCAGTTTAAAGCTCTTCCACCGCTACCTCCTGTAATAGACACCGGGAAACAGAAAAAAAAGTTAAGACAGTAACAAATCAGATCACACATACAGGGATATAAACATATCCATGTGTTTCGTGATAACCCGCGTTCACTAAGAATAATGCTACCTGGTTGCTAGGGGGAAAGGAAACTATCCCAAAGGCAATCCAAGCTGATAAATTCTACTTATGATACAACAGGGGCAGCACCTAAAAGTCATGCCCTGATATGTTAAGAGCTCTACAAGAAATGCACAGAAAAACCCTATAAATGCACTTTTATACCCACTGGCATCAGAAACCTTATACATCTTACAGACCAACAACACTGAACGCATGCTCTTTGCTGTTAAGAGTATTCACCTTTTTTTTCCCCTCAACTCTAATTATTTGAACTGATGAGTAAATCTTTTCAAGGGTTACCTAGAAATACATAGAATTTTATAAAGATATTCAGCAAACCAATATTCTTTACTCTTAAAAATCCTTTATTTACACTGTTGAAAATTTTGGAAGTATATGGAAGACGGGTGTGTTAGTTCCACCACTGAACTACAGGCTTCTCCTACTGTTACCTGAGGTAAGTGGATTCCCATGCATCACCTCTGGAGGAGCTTCTCTGCTCTCGATGACCATAGGATGAGCTTTCAGCTCCCAGGCAGCGAGAGGGATTCCCTCAGCGTTAAGGCCAGGCCATCCAGTCCAGCCCACTAAAAGCAGGGGACACGTGGGTGCTGGGCTCCGATCGTGCATCTCTGTGCACACTGGTGAGGCAAGGTTGTCAAGCTACATTCCTGAAGATTCCCAATTCTTATTTATTGGATTTTGTAATGGTCTGACTGTGCAGTTCTCACTTGGACAAAAACAGCTATGAGATTTCAATGCATAGGAACAAAACCCAGGATAAGTTCATGAACAAATTATTCAAAAATAGATTCTAAAGTCATAGCAAGAAGTTAAGCCCAGGACAGTAACTTTATTTGGCAGAATATTTGCAGTTTTTGATATTTGATTTAGTTCCAGTTTGGAAGAATATGTAGCTTTTTTGTTGCTGAAATTCCCTCTGAAGCAGAATTTCCATTCCCTGCCCAGCTCTGGGGTGGTCTGACTGTCAGGACTTTGGAAGCCTGTAAAACCTGAACTTCAAGCCCAAGAGTGCAGGAGCTGAGACTTTCCAGCTCCTTTAACCCTCCAAGTCCTGTTGGGGAGCTAGATATGTTAGCCACAGACAAACAAGCAAACAAACAAACAGCAGCAGTCTTTCAGTAGATCTGTTTGATTTCCAGTGTGGGTTTTTTTTTTTCAAATACAAGTAATCTCTTTGAAATCTCTGACAAATTGGCAATTTCGACCAAAACAGAAAAGTTTCTTAAAATGTTTCCCACAGGTGTATTCGTAAGTCACGTGGCCCACCCCAACTGTAATAAGGAATTAAACATCAGTTGAATACTAGATTAAAATACCATTTGTTCATTCTCAGAACAACAACAATAAAAATCACACTTCATTGCCCAAATCCTACAGTGAAGTTGCACTGGTAGCAAATATTGCTTGACACTGTAAGCACTTGTGTGGCTGTAACAGAGGTAGAAATCCTTGAAAGATGGCAGAGAAAAATGCTAGAAAAATCTGCACCGTACTGGTCTTCCGGCTGCGACTTCGCCTGCCCAGCTGACCATCCTTCTCCCTTTGCATGCCAGCCCACGTGCTGATGGTCACTAGAGCATACCACCACAAGCTCTTCAGACTCCAAGACTTTTGAGATTAAGAGTGTCTCTCCCTGTCTTTGCTAAGTAAGTTATGTGTGTCTCCTTGGCTTAGACCCTAATACAATACATACCCACTTTCTACTTCACAGCAGAGTAAAGGAGCCATCTCTAATGGCTAATAGGACATCTAGATTTGCCTCTTTGCATAAAACCTTTCAACTTCTCCTGTGTAGCATACCTATTAATTTCATGTCTATGGACAGCTTATAATATTGGTCTCTAAAAAAAAGGTGAAAGTAGAAAAGTACTCTCCTGTGTTTTTGGGTTGGTTTTTTTTTTTTTTAATTACTCCTAATAATTAAAAAAGCCGAAGGCTACCTCTTCCTTATCTGCCATATTCTGATTTTCAGTTAAAACAGTGCCACAGAACTTTATTGAAATAAATAAATATTTACAATAGGGCTCAAATCTTAAAACACTAAATACAGAATCTTTAGGAGCATGAGGCCTCATAACCGACATTCACTCAAGATATTTCAGATAAAATCATGCATTTTCTGGTTTCTCTGAAAGATGAGTTTTATTCATGGCTCACTAGTGAACAGAGATCACCCAGACATTTAAAAAAAATCCTTATTCTTTGTTGCAGATGCTGATCTAAAATCCAAGTTATTTCATTACTAGGGGATCTGATTATAAATAAAGTTAAGAAACCATGTTTTATATTCTCACTTTTACTTTCTGTTAAAAATGAAGCAATGTTACACATTTTCATGGAATAAACTTCCAGCTGAGAAGCTACATGCCCATTTACCTCCACAACCCTTTCACATTTATTCTTCTCCTTCCCAGAGGATGCACTCCTAAACCAGCACAGATTTCATAATCACCTATTTCTCCCTTCATTTCTTTCCATAAAAGCATTAACATTTAACTTTGCTCTGAAAACAATGTCTTTGTTGTCAGTCTAGTTTCATTACGCTCTGCCTCTCTCCTTCTACTTATTAGCCTGTCTTCAAACTGGGTCAGTGCTATTCATGTGCACGGTAGAAGGCCTTTGACAAAAAATATTAAAATTAAAAAGGGAATGATTCCGCTCCAGAATTATTTTGAAAAAAGATGCTGGGTCTTCTACCCTTAGTCCTTTCAGTTTGCAGTTTAACATGCAAGCGAAATGAACTTAGGAAAATTAAGAGCAAGAACAAGATCTGGTATTATGAGTGACACAATATGACAAATGAAAATAATAAAGAGTGCCTCAACAATGAAAATACATATATTTGAACATGCGTTATAAATTAGCAAGGCACTCAAGTAAAAATAATTGATTCAACAAACCTCAAAATTAATCAGCTGCAATCCACAAACAACTTTGTAGTTTACTTAATAAAAGTTTTCTTGAAGGTAAAGGGTAAAATTATATTGATATCATATATTATGTAGAGAAACAATACTGATAATGTTGTGGCAGAGAAAGGACCGTGTTTGACATTATTCAAAAAGCGAAGTAAGCAATTTTTTTCTAAGTAAGTGGCAATAAACCCCTGACAACATAGCAGACTGTTCTATCCCTCTGACTGTGCAGCCAAAAATGTTAGTGACTGTGAGGCACACTTAGCAGGCTACAGAGAAGAGATAATCATTAATAAAGACAACTGCTCCAAAAATAACTTAAACAGCTTTTTCAGACATAAAACTGTCAGAACTTTGATGTCCAAAATCTCAGGCTCCTCCAGACTTACAGTGGCATAAATCAATAAACATCTATCAGCAGTTAAGCATCTGGTGCCTATCACTCCAGACACTCTTGTCTTATTCTTGTCTTATTATTTCCTTGTGTTCCCATCTGAATCTGTATCCAAGTGCTGCCATTTGTCTCTGCTTGGGAACACAGATCACCTTTTTGTTCCGTTTTTGCACAGCACCTAGCAGAGTGTTCTGTAGCTTCTTCTTTTATGCATTTTTGCAACACTAATAATAAATAATGTTATTCCCAGTATAACTCCAAAAACTTTACACAGTGCTAAAGGCATGCAATTCTCATATGGAGATATGCTGTTTCTGGCTCAGGAATTAAGTTCACTTGCGAAGAGCTCTAGGCAGAGGAAACTCTTCATTTTGAAAGGAAGAAGATTTACTGGGCAGGTTGAGTTCCAAAAATAAATGGCAGCTGTTTCCAGCTGCTGTGAGTTTAATCACATCACAAGAAAATGGATGAATGGGGAAAAAGCTGCTGTTATGACAGCCAAAGATATCATTCATTAAAATTCTACACTCATATTTACTGAGTCATGAAGACACAGAAAAATACTGTCATTTCCAGAGTGATAATACAATGAGAGATATACTCATTGGTGGGACAAGCAACCACAATAGGAGACTGCAGACATGACTGGACATTGAGCCAGGAGCCTTGTTTCAACTTAAATGCAACTGAGTAACGGTAGCCAGATGGATCTTACAAATTCATGTGAACTTCAGACAGAGGGCTAGCTCACCTGTGGTGTAGGACAAGAAAGTGAGCACATCTGCAGTTTGAACTGTACCATATTCAGCCAGTGATGCTCACACAGACGGCAAGTCCCTCAAGAACCACAAGAGACTTTGGGGGAAGGATCTTAGAAAGATGTTGAAACCCAGAACTCTCAGCTTATCTCTAGCGTGCACAGCAGACATCCGAATGTCAGTGCTTGCGTGGAAACCCTTCTTGATTACCATGAATGTGCTTTAAATGGCTAGCAAAAGGTCAAGTGGGCGCACTTCTAATTCAATAAGGCAGCTTGTTCCTCACATGAACAAAAGAAAGGGTGGTTAGAAAAACAAAAGAAACTCTAGCAGTGGGCTTGCTTTGAGGGAAGGACTGACTCTGAGATGTCATTATGTTATTGCTATTCTAAGCAGAGGATTCAAAACCAGCATGTACATTCTTGTAATGCATGTTGGGGAAAGTACTCACATCCAATCTGTTCTGTGTTGCATGGTCTTTGCAATGTAGCCGTGCAAAACCATTTTTACTTTACAGTAACTTCACCAAATCTGCTCACTTCACAATGTATTTTTCTCTTGCATTCAACTGCTAACCTTGCAAACCCAAGCTGAAATACGCAGGGCAAAGAGAGCTCCCGCTGGCATGAAGTACTATGGGTTTGTACACCCAACAGGCCATGTTTTTATAGAGCACTCAAAGTCAGATGATCTACACTGTCCAAACTGTTCTGCACTAGACAGTCAAAAGATCGCAGCTGGGGTTTAAGCGACCACATAAACGACAGGTATCTGGCCCCTGGCAGCTCCCACTGCATGTAGGTGTCTGAATAGGAAGCAAGTTCTTTTGAAAATCTATAACCAGTAAGGCATCCTGTACCATATTCTCACCTGCCTAGATCTCAGCAAGTGGAATGAACCTGGTTTTGGTTTTGCTTGCATCTCTGTGCAGTAGGACTAAACGTATAAAATCAGTGTCATTACCCTCACGTGCTTGCAAAGAGAGCCATGCTCCCTCACTGTTCATTCTGGCTCCAGTTACACCAGCAATTAGGAGTAGAATTTGGCCCTTACTTTTGTGTCTGAAACGGCATCATAAAGTGATTTTTCTGTACCTTTCACAGATATGCCAGTTTGCAATCATAACTGGAGTAAAACAATATTGCCATTAAAGAAAGCAGTCAAAGGTGCCCATTTTACTTACTCATTTTTATACTGAGGCCAAGCTTCACGAGGACTTATGTTTATTTATCGTACAGTCATGAATAAATGCAACTGCACTGAATTTATCTGCTTCTTTTTTTTGTCAGTAAGTGCTCATGCCTCTCACAGAATATGTGCATTTACCCATTTCTCATTTACCATTACATCACTGTAATATTCTTAATTACATATCTGTTATGAACAAAAGCTAGAGGAAGTATTAGTAAGTTTTTTTTCAGTTCCTGTGAAGTCTTAAAGACTCTCTAAAATGGCAATCTTTAAAAGAAAAAATTACATTTACAGCAGAATCGCAACTCACATTAATCAAATGATCATTAAATCATCAAGATTCTCACTCCCAGATTGTTCAATAAACTTAGTTTCCTGTTTTTCCTGCCGCTGTTTTGTCTGTAACTCTTCTGACACTTCAAGTATTTCCTAAATTGGGATTTAAGTCCTATCTGTCAATTCTTCTGCGTAAGAGACTGCTTTCTATGCCAATATAAATGCAAAAGTCCAAAAACATGGACAGACTTGCCTGCAAGACACATTCTTTCCGTAATAAAGATCAATCCAACACTTCTACAATTAGCAAGGTTAAATCACTTTACAATCCATTTGAAAAGATAGAGGGGGAGTAATGCAATGTGTTCTACGTACAAAGTCCTCTGTGAAACTGCCCCTCTAACTACCAATCACAAATTGTTAGCTCCACAAATTAAATGTAACAAGTGCATTTAACAGCAAAAATAATGCAAACTCATTGACATAAAAAATGAATGCCCCAACAATGTTAGAGATTCAGTATAACCAAAATATTACTCTGCAAATAATTTTAACATTTAACTTCATTGTTTATATAATTTATATATTCATTAATGCTAGATTACATAATCGAAGTTAGTATCCTATTAAATGTCAGTAGAATTAAGATAAATTCAACTGAGAACTGCAGGGCAATTATCTGTGTGGCATCACATAGGAGAAAGTTTTCAAAGGCTGTCTTACAAATATACATACGTACGTATGCAATCTATAGATTATCAATGTACAGGATCTTTTGTGTTTCTTGATAAACTTTTGCCCAAGAATTTGGACCATCGTTGGGCTAGATTCACAATCAGTATAAACTGAAGAAGCTTTGCTGACACCAGGGGAGCCATGAGATGTATTGACTGTAGGCAGAGTCCAAGCCCTGCAAGTAGAGTACAGTGGAAACTTCTGACTAAGACAAAGTACATGTCAAAGAGATTACAGCTGGGTGACTCTAACCAACAGCAACAATTTAAAGGATGTAGTGGAAGAAAAGTAGGTAGTCCCCAAGGCTAGATGTGGATTTGAAAAACTTGGATTTAAGAGCTGGAAGCTTCATCTTCCAAATCAGCTTTCATACCTGCCATTCCCATGGTTTTACATGAAAATATAAACTATAGTTTAATATATAATTCATAACTATATACCTGCATTCTCTGGCCTCGGATATTAACGGTAGGGAAGTACATATTCTGTTTTTATTTGCCCATTCAATACCCTTGTCACAGCATTCTTCCATTGAAAGATCTGCAGAAATGAGGAAAGAAAGAAAAACACAATATATTTAATACAACCTTAGTAAATGGTATTGCATCTGCCAGTTAAAAAAAAAAAAAAAAAAAAAAAAGAGTCAGTTTGGTTTCCTCTCCCTAATCTACACACAGAATAGTGCACCCATCCAAACGGCAGCCGTGGCCAAATGGAGCATCCGTTAGCACCTTGCAATCAGCCCAAGCGCTGGAGGTATTCCTTCCTCAGTGAAGCAAACTGCAGTTTCCCTTAACCTTCCACATAAAGACACAGCCTAAGGACTGATACTCCAGCAAAAAACAGTTCAGATAGAGTCCTAAAAGGATCTGTTGGGTTGCACTCCTTTATTATCAAAAGCAGCAGTAGCAATTAGCAACCTTTTAAAATCATGAAGAATACAGGATAAATCAAATAAATGCCTGATATGAAAGACAGATGAATATCATTGCAAGTTAATTTGCAGAACTATTTTTTCCTGAGGTTATTATCCATTTAACCTGTTTTACTCAAAACTATGTCTGTAAATGCAAAAGTATTGTACAAAGAGACAGAAAGGTATATGGTATTTTGATCACTTAACATATGAAAGAAAAAATAATATAGATACCAACTGATACCAACCTTGAAACTAAAGGGAAAAGCATACTGAAGATAATTATTTGTGCAGAGTATGATTTTTGCAAAAGTCTCTAATTTAATAAAACTAAATACTGTTAATGAACTGACAGGCACTACAGGTTTGCTTCATACTCCAAGTGCAAAAGTTCACTGCACAGCAGGTGTATCAGAACTTGGAATAAAACACGAGTCACATTTTCCTATTAATTATCTTGTTGTCCGGACACTGAACAGCTCCTTGTGTAACAAATACACAATCTGTGTAAAAACCCATCTGATTATCCAGAGGGACAGCTTTCTAATGTTTTCTCTTTGTTTCATAAGTTTTTTGACTGATGGCCCTGACAGGCTGCACCCACAAGCGCTGAGGGAGCTCGCTGATGTCACCGCCAGGCTACTCATGATTATCTTTGAGAAGTCATGAAAATGAGGGAAGTTCCTGAAGACTGGTAGAGAAAAAATGCCCTCCTGTCTTCAAGAAGGACAAGAGAGAAGATCTGGGAAACTACAGGCTGGTCAACCTCTTCTCACTGTCTGGGAAGGTGATAGCAAAAATCCTCCTGGAAACTATGTCCAAACACATGAAGGACAAGAAGGTGACCAGGAGAAGTCAGATTGGATTTATGAAGGGGATATCATGCTTGATGAACCTCATAGCCTTCTATAATGAGGTGGCTAGCTTGGTGGACGAGGGGAGAGCAGTGGATGTTGTTTACCTTGACATCAGTAAGGCTTTTGACACTGTCTCCCATAATACCCTCATAGACAAGCTGACAGTGTCCAGATTAGGTAAGTGGACAGTGAGGGGGACTGAAAACTGGCTGAATGGCCAGGCCCAGCAGGGTGTGATCAGTGGCACAAAGTCCAGTTGGAGGCAAGTCACTAGTGGTGCACCTCAGGGGTCAGTACTGGTTCCAACACTGTTCAGCATCTTCATTAATGACCTGAACAATGAGAAAGAGTGCATCCTCAACAAGTTCACAGATGATACAAAACTGGGAGGAGTGGCTGACGCACCAGATGGTTGCGGTACCATTCAGAGGGATCCCAACAGGCTGGAGAAATGGGCAGTGAGGAACCTCATGAAGTTCAGCAAAGGGAAACGCGAAGTCCAGCATCTGGGGAGGAATAAGCCCTATGTACCAGTACGCACTGGGGGCTTACCAGCTGGAAAACAGCTCTGCAGAGAAGGACCCGGATGTCCTGGTGGACACCAAGTTGATCATGAGCCAAGACCATCTCGGGCTGCATTAGACAGAGCACTGGCAGCAGGTTGAGGGAGGTGATCCTTCCCCTCTGCTCAGGACCGATGAAGCCACGCCTGGAGTGCTGTGTACAGTCCTGGGATCCCCAGTTCAAGAAAGATATGGACTTATTGGAGTGAGTCCAGTGCAGGACCACCAAGATGATTTCTGCACTGGAGTATGTTTCATATGAGGAGAGACTGAGAGAGCTGGGACTGTTTAGCCTGGAGAAAAGAAGGCTCAGGGGGATCTGATCGATGTTTATAAATACCTGATGGGAGGGGATTAAAAAGAGGGAGCCAGACCCCTCTCAATAGTGTCCACTGACAGGACAAGAGGCAACTGGCACAAATTATACCATATGGAGTTCCATCTGAACAGAAGAAAACACTTCTTTACTGTGAGAGTCTTCAAACACTGGATGATCTCAAGAGGTCCCTTCCAACCTCAACGATTCTGTGACTGATTACTTAATGAAAAATAAATAAGACCCTTTCATCTGTAGGTCGCTGTGCTGCACAGAGGAAGGCAAATCTCTTTTACTCCTTTTTGAGGGAGAATCTGAAGTACAAAAGGATGAAATGACTTGCCCAAATTACACAGCAAGCTGGTGACAGAACAGGGAGAGCACACCAGGTCATTCCCAGACCCTCTCCCTCCACTGGATCATAAAATGCCTCACACGATTGTCTCATTCTTAGTTTTGCTCCAAGCACATCTAAAGGGAGCAAAATTCAATAAGCAGCAGCATTATATTCAAGACTATCCATCTTCACAAATTACTTCCTGCAGAGTCTAGTAAGGACAAGCATCTGTCTCCTCCGGCTCTCCCTACACCAGTTACAAAGCCGTCCTTCCCCAGGTGCTCCTGATGTACGGGGGTTACAGCCTCGTTCCATCTGTCCATGTATTCACCTCCTAACCTACTGCAGTTATCAAAATAAGTGGAAATATTATTTAACCTGTTCATGATTACACTGACTTTGACACACATCAGACAGAGTTTACATGAGTACCTCAACTGGCAGATGTTCATGCGTGGGAAAGGAAAAAGCAGCTGAAAGCAAGCAGAGAAGATAACTCCCTCCAGTAACTCAGTTGTTTGCAGGGAACAACCTATATTCCTGACTAGTGATTATAATCCACAATTCAAAGCAAAAAGGAAAGAGTTAAATGAGATTTTAGGATGCATCGGTCATCTTAAGGTAGGTAGTCTTAAGGCAGTTATCAATTCTACAGTGCAAAGCTCTGGAGCACTGAGCATAATTCTGGCTATCCCTCTTTAGAAAAGATTACATCAAAATAGAAAATGTGTGAAGAAAGGCTAGGAGGATGGTCGGGGAATCTGAGCTCTATTACATGAGGAGAAACTGGAAGAAATAGACTATTTTAAGCCTACATAAGTAAAGCTTGTGAAAGGATGTGGTTCCTGTCAACAAATATTACAGCAGTAAACAATAATCAGAATTATGGGATCAAGTAAACCAGACATTTTTAATACGAAAATCATTATAATTATAAATGGAATTACATTAAATGTTAGTTTATAACAGAGCTCTGTACTTTATGACCCAGGTCATCCTTCTAGTCTTACTTACATACCCAAAATAATGGTCAAAATTCTGTCATTATGAAGTCAAGGCAATATTTCTCTTCAATTCCTCAGTGTGTCCAGAATTCATGCCAGTGTCTGAAAGCTAATTGTAGTTTCTAATGCTACAGAGAAAATCAGTCTTGTAAATAAATATCTGCCTGTGGTGAAAGACATGAATTTGTGTCTGATCTCTTCTTTGGGAATAGGGACCCTGTCTGGTTCTCTCTGTCTGCCAGTGTACTGCTAACAAACATTATATGCATCGAATTTCATACAATGTGTTACAAATAACCATATTTTTAGTCCTGTTGTCTGCAATTAATCTTAACCGTGTTGAAAAATGATACACATTTAACTGAAGTGCAGAGCTGGCTGCAGGTTTTTGCAGGGCTTTGTACAAATGGGTCTTTAGCCAAGTTCCTCCCCAGAAGGACAATCCCTGGCTCTGGACACCAGTTCTTCCCTCCCAGCTCTGGCAACACACCTCTACTCCAACCAAATAACTCAAGAATTCAAAGCAGGCCAAGCTAAGCGAGCTCGTCTGTAGGAGCGCATCCAGACAAAGAAGGATTTCGGATAGTTTGCTGAGGGAGAACTGTGGTCCAGGCTCATTTTTTTGGTGACATCACAATTCATATCCTCCAAAGATCCTGCCAAAAATCTCCTGAGAATAAAGGGAAGTGAAAAACAAGCAGTAAAAAAAAAGAACTCCACCCTCAAGGCCATTCTTCTAAAACATAACAATAAAACAGTGAAAAAACATTTTCTCTAGCTTGGCTTTGCAGTTTGCTTTCAAAAATGCTCATTCGTGGACAAATCTCTGCCCTTTCAAAATCTCAGAAAGTACATGTCTCACACTTCGGGTGTCAGCTCCTGATTGCACTGGAATTGATTCTGACAATTTTGGCATCAAGAGTTGTTAATTAGTACTTAGAAACAAGACAAACTTATTGTCTCATAACTGTGTTTTTCCAGTGTTCTGGATTCAACTGTACATATGCATATTCATGTGGCTCCCAGGTGGAAATCTTTGGGCACACAGTTCACACTGAGGCTATTTGTGCCTCCTTACACCCTCTTCAGGAGACCAACAGCATGGTGTGGTCATGGCCCCTCCTCAGTTTCTCCTAACTAGAAGTCTGTAATGCACGGCATCTGAAAGGAAGGGATAATGGAAAGCAGATGGTAGAAACTACTGTGATTACGACATCTTGAAGAATCTCACTTACTGTGCAGAAAGTGATGGTTCTCTTTTCTCTGAATGTGACCATGTGTCTCTTACTGCAGTTGATGGGCTCGTGGCACCCCTCAGTGCTGGAGTGCCAAAGGTGATCGAACAGGAATTACAGGACTGCTCTTTTGAACCCGGTGCCCCTTCAACTGCTTAGCCAAGTGCATAATGTTTCATGCAAATCAGCCAGAGAAATCTCAGGCACCTGAGAGACAAAACACTTCTGGGAAAGGCTGATGACATTGTCTGCGTTCAGCTGAAATGTGCCCTTTTACTTGGAGGGAGAAGCCCTTCAGGAAAGT